TATGTGTAAATATACACACATACATAAATTCAAACACACATACACACAGAAATACATATATACATGCATACATACATATACATTATATATATATATATATATATATAATAATATATATATATATATAATATAATATATATATATATATATATATATATAATATATATATATATTATATATATAACATGCTACATACATATATATATATATATATATATATATATATATATATATATATATATATATATATATAATATATATATTTATATTATTTATTATATATACATATATATATAACATGCATACATACATATATATATATACATATACATATCTATATATATAAATGTATTATATATATATATATATATATATATATATATATATATATATACATATATATATATATATATATATATATATATATATATATATATATATAGAGAGAGAGAGAGAGAGAGAAGAGAGAGAGAGAGAGGAGAGAGAGAGAGAGAGGAGAGAGAGAGAGAGAGAGAGAGAGAGAGAGAGAGAGAGAGAGAGAGAGAGATATAGAGAGAGAGAGATACTTTATATATACATTATATATATACATTATATATATATATCATATATGTATATACATGTAATATTATATATATATATATATATATATATACTATATATATAATTATATATATATATATATATATATATATATATATATATATATATATGTATATATATATATATATATATATATATATATATATATATATATATATAATATATATATATATATATATATATATATATATATATATATATATATATATATATATATATATATATATATATATATATATATTATATATATATAATATATATATATATATATATATATATATATATATACATATATATATATATATATATATATTATATATATATATATGTATATATACATATATATATATATATATATATATATATATATATATATATATATATATATATACGTATTTACCTATCTGTCTATTTATGTATTTATATAGATATATGTATACACACACGTATGCGTGCTTTGGTAACGGGAACGAGAAGAAAAAGCGCACTTCCAGGCAGCTACCTCCGCCTCCCCCAAATCCACACCGGGGGGGGGGGGAGGCATCGCGGCCCATAAGTTCCGTGGGCCTAACTTACACAGTAACTCCGCAGCATCAGTATTAACGGTGTGTCTACAGCCCCACCAGTAACTACTGTCGAATCGTAGATCATACATCTCGGGTTAATAATGCGTAGAAAACGGGTGACGATTACGTATTCCGCGAGCGATTTCCGGTGTGAATATGTTAGCGAATTTATCCTGATACGAGATACGCGCAGATAACATGGCTCGCGTGAGTTCTATAATCTGGCGCTTTTATCGAGTGAAAATTAATTGGGGGGGAATGAATTTATTTCGCTTCGGAGGCGTCCATGAGCAGAACAAAGTCTTCTAGAGATTTCAAAAAAAGAGGGATTCATCATTTCTCCTTTTCTCTTTTTCGTTTTAGGGGGGTAGGGGGCATCATCATAAGATATATATCTTTGGGGTTGGAGGTATGACACAAGAACTCTACACACTTGGTGGAAGCGAGCCAAACTTTGGGGTTGAGACAAACTGCCACATGCTATTCTCAGTGTCTTCTGATCTTTCCATCAAAGTCACTTGTAACTTTGCGAGAGGCGTCTCTTTAATACTCGGAATTTTCACCTTAGGATTTTGTTATTCAAGGGCATTCGAGGAGACGATACGTAATAGATGTATTTACGGAGATAGAAATGAACGATTAATAAAAGTAAAATTCGACCTTCAACATTTATTTTCACTCCCCAGCTGTAGGTTGTGTTCGGAAGCGTTCCTGCGGTTCTGACTTCTGCTTGGGATGCGCGCGAGATTGTTTCGACACTGTAGTAATACTACTGCCACATAAAAGTTCAATTTTCACTAAGTTTATCGAAAGATAGAGCAATGGAACAGCTTTTCTCGATGTGATAAATGAACTAAAAATAAATAACAAAATGATTAATGGCATTCCTAGCTTTACATTGTTACCAACTCCGGGAACCATTCTGACCTGCTACAGGGAAACATCAATATTTTTGCCTTTTCCGTTAATTCTCTTTTCGTTCCTTTTCCTTTCCCATGGCAAATATAACGAACGAAATGCTAAATACACCTCACAATTATTTCAAACACCATTTTCCTCAACGGTGATAGATATAAAAGAAATTTACGAAAAAAGGAACTGGAATAGCGGAGAGTATCTTTGAGCGATAACACTGTGGTTTCGTATCCCGATGTGAAAATGTTTAAAGAGTGAACCGTCTTTGTACGTGGGTCAAAAAAGAAAAGGAAAAAAAGGCATAGTAACCCTTTTTCGTGGCTAACCGCATGTGCGTTACACTACACGACCTCAGCCATACCTTCTGTACGTTAGAAACCTTCGTTCATCCCAAAGTCACACGTTTATTCCACTCTCCGAAAAAAAAGGAAAATAACCAACGTTCCTACTTATCCCAATCGGCTAAATGACAACTGATCTATCCTCATATACACGTAACACAATAAAGAGATATAAATTAATGAATCTACCGATATGAGGAAGCCAAAACTTACTAATACATATATATATTTTTAAAATCCTTCGTCTCCGTGGCAAAATGAGATGTTCCTGGCCAAAGCAAAGGAACACTTATGTATAATCACTATTATTTTCGACCGTGGCCAAGAGGATGGTGCTGGCGCTGGCTGAGGCATTAACAGCCTTATCGCCCTGACATGACTCTATCTTCGTGCTCATTCTCTCTCTCTCTCTCTCTCTCTCTCTCTCTCTCTTCTCTCTCTCTCTCTCTCTCTCTCTCTCTCTCTCTCTCTCTCTCTCTCTCTCCTTTCTCTCTCCTCTCTCTCTCTCTCTCCTCTCTCTAAAGGCTACATTCCCTATACTTCATTAAACTCACGAAGATGATATGATGCTACTGTTTTGTGAACGAAATTTCATATATATATATATATATATATATATATATATATATATATATATATATATATAAATGAGAGGGAGATTGTGACTTTTTCGTTTTTTTTTCTTTCTTTCTCTCTTTTCTTTTTTGTGTAAGTTGTTTTGTTTTTGACAGCTAGTTTTAAATTGTAATGTCAACCCATATGTCAACGAATTTGTTTATAAAACTACTTTTCAAGTTACTTTCTTCCGTCATTTATCGTTTTATATATATATATATATATATATATATATATATATATATATATATATATATATAATATATATATATATATATATATATATATATATATATATATATATATGTATATATGTATATATGTATATATGTATATATATATATATATATATATATATATATATATATATATATATATATATATATATATATATATATATATATGTACTTTTTTACTTTAAGATAAAGTTATCGTTTGATCTTCTTATATCCTCAGTATCTTGTCACATATATTGATGGACATTGTCATAAATGCTAATAGACTTTCTTTTTTTTAAGTTCACCTGCTTCCCTTTTTGTAATTGTCATTAGCTTTTTCATTATCATTATTATTAATATTTGTTATAATTCTATTATCATTGTTATTATCATCATTATTATTGTTATTATTATTATTATTAATACTATCAATACTATTATTATTATCATTATTGTTATCATTATTATCATTATCATTGTTATCATTATCATTATTGATGTTATTTTGTTGTTGTTATCATTGTCAATATTAGTACTATTGTTATAATTACTATTATTATTATGATTGTTAGAATTCTATCTATCATCATTGTTATTGCCAACACTACTCCCACAGCTATAATTACTATTACTACTACTGCCACTACTATTACTATGACTATTGTTACTATCATCATTATCAGCATGAATACCATAATTACTTCATTGTCACCTAAGTCATCGCCCTTCCGATTCCCGTCTATCATTATAATAAGCATTACAAATGGGATAATATATTACGTAGCAACACATGATAACTTTTGTGGCCACTTAATCATCACACAGATAAACGTCACTTCATGGGAATTACACTCTCTCATAGTCTGTGTTTACTTGTATATTTCATGACACTTTTTTTTTCCTGTGTTTCTGGTGTATTTCGAATTATCACTTTTTAAAATAAATCAGGCGATTGTTGTCACTTTATTTTTTTTTTCATTTTCGTTCATTTTGTATATTTTTCACTGTTTCACATTTTGAGGGGAGCGCACTTTTTCATTGTACTTTTAGTGGGATATTAATTTGCTTATCGTTTTTTGGGGGTAACTTTCGTATTTGTTTTTGTAAAAGCTTGTACATTATATAACTTGGAAAGACCGAATGCCATTTCATTCCATTTTTTTACATAATTTCCATTATTTTGGTTTGAAAATATGTTACGAATTTAGGGAATGATAACTGCTTTATTTCTTGTGTGAAAAGGATAGTAAATTGAGCCTGGCTTTGCTCTGCCCGAAACCTAATTTGTTCTTACTCATCTGTGGGAGATTAAACCCAGTGGGGGAGGGCGCGACCCCCGCCGGTTAAATGTTGGTTAAACTAACTTTTTTTCGGGGGAGCCTCAGCTTGATTATCTCATTGTATTACTGAAGATAGATACGGTAGATAATTATGCAAATTAGACCTACGAGGGGGTGTTAGGTGCTTATGGGAGCCGAGGCTGTCTGCCGCAGATTTATTCATTTTGGGCGAGAAGAATTTTGATGGATTTTAATCTTTGGGAAAAGGCTTCGCGTGGAGGCCTGGCACGACCCGGGCGGCGCGGCCAGCAGGGAGGCCACGAGTGCCGCACTGGCCCGCCGGGGCGCCGGGCGGTGGCACGGCGGCTGCACCGTCAGACACCTTGCTTGCGGTGGGCGGCACAGGTGCCACGGCCCTCCACCACGCCCACACCACAGTACTGTCGGAAGCTTGGTACGTACCTGCAATGGCCATCCAGGGGTAGAAGGTGGTGTTGGAGGGCGCCTGGTTCATCTGGTTGTTGGTCTGCTGAGGCGGCTGCTGGGATTGCTGATGGGGCTGGGACACGGGCGTCATCCCGCACGTGTTCCACCCGCCCACGTGTGCTGCCCGGTCCCGGGGGGACGTGCTGGGGTCCGGAGGGTAGCCGCGAGCTGCCACCGGGTCCGGGGTGCAGGCGGGGCGCACCGCGGGCCCCCAGCCCCCGGACATGTCCTTGGTGGCTCCATAGCCATTCTGATCCTTGACGCAGTCCACCTTGAATGGGTTGGGCGTCATGTGCTCCTGAGGGGGCGCGTACAGCTTGCAGGAGGCGGCCGTGGTGTCGTAGCCATCCTGACGAGGTCCTGGCTGCCCGTACGGGCTCACGCTGAGGCCCAAGGGGAAGCGGTAAGCCTGGTCCCCGCCGGAGCCGCCGCCGTAAAACCCGCCCTGTTCGAAGTAGGAGTTCATGGTTGTGGTTATGAAGGTAACACACTACACGCACCCACTGACACACTCACTCCACCAACACCAAGAACCAACTGAAGTTCCAGTAACACACCGTGATCACCACCAACACACCAACCGATTTTCAAATTGTAAATTTTACCCGCGCTACCACACCATGTGCTGGATTAAATTTGCTCATAGCAGTCGCTATGTGTAAACATATGAAGGACGGCCCGGAGAGGCAGAAGCAGCCAATGAGGATGGGTTGCGTCACGCGGCCGCAGGACGACTGTGAGTGGGACGGGAGTCCGCGGGAAGAACTAGCTCCGTAATAGTGACGTCACGACCGGCCGACTCGCACACACGCGCGATTATCGGTGGTGGCTGGCTGGCTGGCGCACACTGGCCGAATGGTGGCGGCGAGCTCAGGTCTCCGGGCCACGCAACCCCGCCACTCAGAAGCGGCGCACGCGGGGGCGGGCCCTGGCAGCCGGGGGCGTGACACTCCCAGGCCGCGCCCCCCGCCCGCCGCCACCTGCATGACGCCCAGCCTAACGCCACTCCTCGCATGACACTCACCCCAGCCCCACGTGAGGCCTACCTCGCGCCCCCGATGTAGGCCTACGCTGCATCCCCTCAGCTCGGATGGCGGCTTACACACCTTTCCGGGGCCTATTGGGAACTTTGGGGCTAGGCCTACTGTGTGTGCTCACTTGAGGCCTATCACGCCCACACGCTAGTCTACTCCTAGGCCTATCTTTTGCTACAATGTCGGCATTATTCGATGTTCTCTTAGTCCCCCCTGTAACTAGGCCTATAAATCCCGCATATCAAGTAACTAAACAAAAAGTTAGGGGGAAATAGCCGACATTACTATGCAAAATCAACTAACTTAATTTCAAGCCCATAAAATTCAGATAAAAACGTTTCCGCAACGTTTGCTCCAGTTTCCCTCGGATGACGAGTCGAGAAAAAGATAACACATATCTTACACAATCTTTCCGGTTTAAGTACAGACAACACCTGTACACAATCAAAGAACTCGCCACGAATCGCAATAACAATTGATCCAACCCAATAAACATCAAAAGCGACCTTCAGACACCCACAAAATTCATCCCGATAGGCCTATAGCAATATAACAACAACCCTTTTCCATTTTTTGACAATACATCATAATCCTGGTCATCCTAAGTTACGAAATACACCCCCTTCCCTTAAGTTTAAAAAATCTAGCCTAGGCCTCCTTCCCCAGCGTGAGTAAGACTTTATAAGGGGAACCACGTATAGTAAGATAGCAGTCCCAAACAAGCTCTCTCTCGGTGCTTCTATAAGACCTTCATCTTTAATGCTATTTGAGGTTCAATCTACGCATTCAAGCAAAGACAAGCGCACAAAGACAGAGGCTCTCTCTCTTCTTTCTTCTCTCTCTCTCTCTCTCTCTCTCTCTCTCTCTCTCTCTCTCTCTCTCTCTCTCTCTCTCTCTTCTCTCTCTCTCTCTCTCTCTCTCTCTCTCTCTCTCTCTCTCTCTCTCTTTTGTTGTGAATTGATTTGTCTCTCTCTTCATTCTCCTATCTCTCGATTTCTTTCTTTCTTTTCTTTCGGTTTCTCTTCTCTCTCTCTCTCTCTCTCTCCTCTCTCTTCTCTCTCTCTCTCTCTCTCTCTCTCTCTCTCATCTTCTCTCTCTCTCTCTCTCTCTCTCCTCTCTCTCTCTCTCTCTCTCTCTTCTCTTCTCTCTCCTCTCTCTCTCTCTCTTTCTCTCCTCCCTCACCCCCTCTCACCGTCCGACTTCCGCGACGATCCCTGTCGTGGCTAGCTGAGCTGCTGCCTCACATATGCCAACGGTGATGATTCGCTCCCCCTCGGCCAGCGCGTCGAATGGATTCTCTCTAAGATGGAGGGCCGTTCGCGCTGCGTACGTTCCATTCCTTTCGTTGGTTTTTTTGTGTTAGCAGGCACGCCAAAAAGCTATATGACGTTGACGGCTGCGCTGGCTCGCGCATCGTTCGGCCCGTTGGTCCGGGATATGAATCCGCCCCGTGCACAGCTGCAGTCTACCTACTGACCATTCCTCTGTCATATTATAGGGTATTTCCAGAAGATGCTGTTTCAAACAACGGCTCTTGAGAAGAGTTCAATACGCGCTACCTCAGCGCGATCCAGGCTGTAACGTATAAAACTCTAACTTCATTATGAGCACTCGATCCACGGTTACCGCCTAGACAGTTTCCCTACCCCGTGGTGCGCGGAGATCATACCACGTGCAGGTAAACTGCATACAGTTGTGGCCCTTCTAGTGGGAGGAACGCGCAGGGAGGCTGAGGAGTCGCGGATGGGACGGTCGTCAATGGCCTGCCGCGAGGTGCCCGGATCACTCGGACTAGATCAGTGCGACGAGAGTGAGTTCTATTGCAAGAGAAAGTGAATAAATGTGTGCTGTTTATGCACGGTGGAGCTTTCTGATCTGTATAAAGAGGGACACTTAGATAGGGATGTTCGTTGGGCTTTTGGCTGGGATCTGGCTGAGAGCCCGAAGTCGTGGGGGAGCTCAGCAGCATCGGGGTCATATTAGTATGATAGAGTGGGTCACGGCTAGCTGCAGCGAAGATCGCTTGCCTGAGCAGAGTCCGATCCTTGGGGTACCGAGGGGAGCTCTGCTGCGCGGTCCTGGCGATACCAAATGCTTAGTTCCATCTCTCATGTGGACGTGTGTGCGGGTACTAACACACTTGGAAGAGTTCTGATTGCTTCGTGCAACCTTTGGCATTGTGAATTATGTCGTGAGTATTGTCATTTGCGGGTATCGATGCTGACACGGAAAGTGCATGTGAGTAGCTGGTAAAGCGTACGTGGCAGAATGAGGACGAGGATGAAGTTCAGCTATCGTCGCCGACTTGTGAGCAGGGCAACGTGTATCTCTTAACCGCGGAGAATTAATGTCAGGGGACAGAGTAGTTAAAGCTCGTAGCGCGTATGCATGCTATCGTGTTCAACTTAGAGTGGCGAGGTGATGAGGGGTCACTGTGGTTAGTTACGGAGGTCGCTACGTGGGTTAACCCCCTAGCGTGTTCTGTATGAGTGGGTGTCTGTCGCTCACTATGCAGGGAGCGAGCGCACGTTTGCCGTCTACTGGAAGTGGAACTTGGGAACGACATGACGCTAGTGCAGTTGTCGCCGAGAGATATGATGAGAATACTGATGTGCCAGGAGAAGGGAATAGCAAAATCTCGATATTAGGAATCTAGGAACACGCCACTCGTTGGCTACGCCACCCTGAGCGCAGTTATAAAAGTCTGGAGAGTTTGATGATCGAATAAGGAGCGGGTGTCGACGACTGGCAGGGGGTTGGTCATGCGCACATCAAAGGCGGGCGCCTCGCAATCACAGAGAATGTTGGCTGAGGAATGCGATGCGAACTACAGACACTGGGGCGTCGATAATGGGATGGCGAGTGTCTGCTTGGGAGTAGACTGATGGAGAGCGGGGCCAGTAGCGGAGCTGAGGGCCGTCGGTCATCATGTAGCGGAAGCGTCGAAGTGGGGGTTTGTTTTGTATCTAGGGAATTGAAGGGGTTTAGAAGGTGCTACATGGCTAGACAGGATTGCGGCATGCGGTTTGATTCGACAGTTGTAGGGCGCTCGAGAAACACGTTCCTTTCTGGAGGAGTGTAATTTGATAAGCAGCTGGAGCGTATCCAGCGGGCAGATGGACATCGTAAGCGGAGGAGGGTGGTAGCGGTCACATCCTGAAGTGGAGACAGGTACAAACCGCGTTTGAGATTGACGCCAAATTGGCATGCAGAGTTGACAGGTGTCCGAGCTTCGTTGCACTATATAGCGGTATGGAAGGCTGGCGCGGATCTCGTTCTGGACATCTGCGGGACGACTGTCACGAGTAAGACTATCTTTTATGGGAGAAGTTTCAGTCGACGGGAGCTGAACAGGTGTCCTTTCCGCCGTAGCATGTGGAGCGTGGGTGTCGTGTGTTAGGTCACGGGACAAGGTTTCGGCGCGTGTGGTGGCATGACGAGGGTGGAAGGTGGGAATAGCACCGAATTGCTGATGAGATAAGGCTACTAGACAGAGCCGGAGTATCGATGAGTAAGATGCTGTGTTGGTGCCAACATGAAGTTGCTCAACGGTTAAGCAATAATTGTGCGGTCCAAAGCTAAATCTCCGGCAGAGAGAATGGTTACAGATGTTGCGACGAGTCAGCAGTATGGTCGTTCAGGTTAATAGCCAGAGGCGATAGGTCCGCTCGTGATCGGGCAGTATCAGTGGACGTCGTTCTGGAGAGGGGTCACGTCTTAGTATAACGAGTACAGGCGTGTAGAGGTGATAGGCTGCGGCAGAGTACGCATTAAACTGTGTTGTGGAGCTAGAAGTATGTGATGAGGCGGAAGGCAGATGGCGGGTGGTGTGCAGGAGGCGTGTCGGCCGCCATTGCGTAATAGTGATAGCGACGTGTTAGAGTGGTGAGAGAGGTATATCTAACGTACGATGCGTCGGTTTCGGCTGGCGACGGAAGCGTTATAGAGCCGGTGTAATTATGGTATTAGGACGTTAGCAAAAGGGTTGCGTCCAACGCCGGGAACCTCCGCGTCCGCCCTTGATTGGCGTCTGGGCGGTGAGCGCAGGTGTAGGTACTAGCGGGCATAATGGAAAACGGTGAGATAAGAGTGCCAGTTAGGGGTAGTAACTCCGCATGGGCCGTGGAGCAGAGCGTGTAGCTATGAGTAGTAGAGCTGGAAAATAAAGTCTGAACTAGGAATAGGAAGATGGGCGTAGCGTGCCTATTAGGCACGCATCGCGAGGAAATCGTCAACTCGGTGAGAGAGGATAGACTCCCGAGTACGGGAAGCCGCAGGGGTCGTGGTACACAAGATGTGTATATGAGTGAGCCAGGGTTCCTGCGGGGGAGTCCCGGCAGGAGGAGATAAGCTGGATGCGTGTGATTGGGGAACATCTGTGATAGATCAGGAGTGCAGGAGTCACGCATGCCATATAATGGTCATCGTTATGTCGTCTACAGTAATATTTAAAGGGGCAATGGTCAAGAAGGTTTGCTACTCTTGCGTGGAGCTTCGGCCTTGTGTGGGATTGGTATGAGGAAAGATATGTGTAGGGATATGAGCTCGGATTGTCCTGTAGGGGCTGGCCTCATATCCATTTTCGTATTGGTGGTGACGCGCTGTATGTGGGGCATCGTAGTCGATCCTCTATGCGCGAGAGCCTTGGGAGACAGGCTACACGGGGAGACCTTCGGTTACCTACGGAGCGTGAGTCAATAGGAGGGACGCGGTTGCGACTAACTACAGAAAATCGGGCTGGGATATGTTATAGTTTTGTGCAACGCCAGGATTCAGAAACGTAATCTGGGAGAACGAGATGTGGTCTAGCATATTTGGTATGCTGTGGT